TAAAGGAATTGGAACTTTGTTGGGGAGACAAAACGTAAAAGATGAAGAAAAGCGTTACACGCATACCTCAGACATATGGTGGGTTTAGTTCCAGGCCACTGTAATAAAGCAAGTATTGCAATAAAGTGAGTCAAATGAATTTTTTGGTTTCTCCATGCATATAAAGGTTATATGTACACTATACTGTAGTCTGTTAAGTGTGCAATAGTAGTATGTCTAAAAAAAAAACCACATACCTTCTAAAAAATAATTCATTGCTCAAAAATGCTAGCCATCATCTGAGCTTTCATAATCTTTTTGCTGGTGGAGGGTCTTGCCTGGATGTAGATGGCTCCTGACTGACCAGGGTGGTGGGTGCTGAAGGTTGGGCTGGTTGTGGCAATTTCTTAAAATAAGACCACAGTGAGGCTTGCTATATCGATTAACCCTTCCTTTCAAAGTGACTTCTCTGTAGCATGAAATGCTGTTTGGTCGTATTTCACCCACGGGAGAGCTTTCAAAACTGCAGTCCTCTCACACCCTGCTGCTGCTTTATCAGCTATGTCTATGCAATATTCTAACTCCTTTGTTGTCATTTCAACAGTCTCCACAGCATTTTCACCAGGAAGAGATGCCATCTCCAGAAGCCACTTTCTTTGCTCATCCATAAGAAGTAATTCCTCTTCCATAGTAATTTGATCATGAGACGGGCAATTCAGTCACGACTTCAGGCTCCACTTCTAAGTCTAGTTCTCTTGCTGTTCCTGCCTCATCTGCAGTTACTTCCTCCCCTGAAGTCTTGATCCCCCAAAGGCATCCATAAGGGTTGGAATCAGGTTCTTTCAAATTCCTGTTCATGTTGATATTTGACTTCTTTCCATGAGTCAAAAGTATTCTTAATGGCATCTAGAATGGTGACTCCTTTCCAGAAGGTTTTCAATTTACTTTGCCCAGATCCCTCAGAGGAATCACTGTCTGTGGCCACGATAGCCTTACGACATGGTTTTCTTAAACGGTAAGACTTGAAAGTTGAAATGACTCCTTCGTTCCTGCACCACACAATGGATGTTATGTTAGCAGGCATGAAAACAACAGTTCTCTCACTGTCCATCTCCATCAGAGCTCTTGGGTGACCAGGGCCATTGTCAGCAGTAATATATTGTATCTTTTTTTTCTGAGCAGTAGGTCTGAACAGTGGGCTTTAAATATTCAGTAAACATGTTAGAAACAGGTATGCTATCATCTAGGCTTTGTTCCATTTTCAGAGTATAGGCAGAGTAAATTTAACATCATTCTTAAGGGACTTAGGATTTTTGGAATGGTCAGTGAGCATTGGCTTCAACTTAAGGTCACCAGCTGCGTTAGCCCCTAACAGGAGAGTCAGGCTGTCCTTTGAAGCCTTGAAGCCACACACTGACTTCTCTAGCTATGAAAAGTCCCAGATGTTGGTGGAGCGGGGAATTCACACGTGCTCTGTGACTCCCGGTTGATCGCTCTGCTCCCACTGTTGCCTTCTTTGCTGTGAACGTATTTGGTTCGTTTCTCCACTCTGCCTATGGAGGCAGCTTGTCTCCACTCATTTTTCCAGCACCCTGTTGCAGATCCTCTCCTCTCCTGGTTCTCAGACTTACTGCTGGCCCATGTCATCAGCTCTGTGATCCTCTCATTTGAAGTCTTGTCTACAGTGACCTCTTTCCCATAGAAAGCTGATTGATCTACACTGAAAATCTGTTGTGTAGTGTGGTCACCTGCATTAATGATGTTAGCTAGATGTTTTGGATAATCTGCTGCAGCTTCAACATCAGCACTTGCTACTTCACCTGCACTGTTATGTTATGGAGACAGCTTCTTAGTCCTGATGACCCAATCTCTGCTAGCTTCAGATTTTTCTTCTCCCCTCTCTCAGGCATCAGAATTGAAGAGAGTTAGGGCATTGTTCTGGATTAGGCTTTGATTTAAGGGACTGTTGTGGCTGGTTTCTATCCAGACCACTGAAACTTTCCCTGCATCAGCAATAAGGCTGTTTCACTTTCTTACCGTTCACGTGTTCATTGGTGTAACACTTTTGATTTCCTCCAAGAATGTTTCCATTGTATCTACAACCTGGTTGTTTGGTGCAAGAGGCTCAGCTTTTGGCCTCAGCTTTCAATCTTCTGTCCTCACTAAGCTTAATCATTTCTAGCTTTTGATTTAAAGTGAGAAACATGGGACTCTCCCTTGCCCATAAACACTTAAAGGCCTTTGTGGGGTTATTAATTGGCCTCATTTCAATATCATCATGTCTTGGGTAATAGGGAGGCCTGAAGAGAGAGAGGGGAACCGCTGATCTAGTGGAGTAGTCAGAACACACGCAACATTTATTAAGTTCACTGTCCTACATGGACGTGGTTTGGGGGTGCCCCAAAACAAGTATGGTAATAACATCAAAGATCACTGATTGCAGATCACCATAGTAAATATGCTAATAATAACGAAAAAGTTTGAATGTGAGAATTACCAAAATATGACTTTGTGAGACACAAAGTAAGCAAATACTGTTGAAAAAATGGTACCAGTAGACTTGCTAAACACAGGGTTGCCACAAACCTACAATTTTTAAAAAACGGAATATCTGTGAAGTGCTTTAAATAAAATGAAGTGCAGTAAAACAAGGTATGCCTGTACAAGACTTAAATAGCTAAGACAGCAGTATGATGGATGGCACAGGCAGCAAATGGTTGTTGGTATCTTAATGATATACATTATTAAGGGCCTTGAGTTCAGAAGAGGAAGTGACCCCTGTGGCTGAGGGCACTTCAGGAAGAGGGAATAACTAGTACTGGCTCTTGAAGGATGGATAGGATTTGGTTAGGTAGGGAAGAATGTGCAAAACCTTCTGAGGTAAGGCCTGGCATAAGGAGAGACTCCACATGGAAGGTGAATAAAGAATTTACAGCAACCAGAAGAGAAGCTGATAACTCCAGGCTAAGCCCAGATTCTAGTTCATTCTCAACAATAGATACTCAGCACCCCACATTACCTGCCTTTCATGAAGTTTGAAGACTGCCAGTCATCTAATTTGCTGATTATTGGTTGAAGAACTCACAGCAAGAACTGACACAAAGCTTCAGGCCAGTTGGGATTTATGATTATGGAGAACTGCCAAGAATGATGGACAACCAGAGACCCCAGATGGCCTCAGGTTCCCAAAATTGTAGGAGGGAAAGCTCTGATCATTCCTGTTTAGATGACCATCCTTCAGTGGCAAAATTATCCATTGCTCTTCTTAGAATCAAGTTTCTGGTATACCTTAAGGCTTTTGGACTTCTTCTGTCATGGGAGGTTATAGGGTGTTAGAGAAAGAAGATTGGATCTGGAATAGGATCGAACCCAGCCTCTACAAGTCACTGGGCAAGGCATTCATTCATTCATTTATTCAAGCACCGTTTGTTGAATACCTATTGTGTCTGGTACTTGGGCTGGGCACTGGGGATATGATGATGAAGAAAACATTCTGAGTCCTTACATTCAGCCTACAGTCTAGCTGAGGAAATGGGAACTAAACAATTAGTCACACAAATAAGTAAGGACAGACTGTGATGTCGCCCACTGGAGGAAGAGTGCAGGGTGCTAATGAGAGAGACTAACATGGGGACCTGATCTGGACCGGGTGATGGAGGAAGGCCACTCTGAAGTGACTTTTAAACTTCAATTTGAAGAAAAAATAAAGTTTCCAAGAAAAGGGGGTGTCAGTTGAGAGATGGGTGAGGACCCTGGTAGAGGAGACAGCAGGTGCAAAGTCACGTCACATCTCTAACTCCAAGTATCTGCAGGCCTGCTTGGTATCTTCCAGCTCCAAAATCCAGCTCTCAGCGAACTCTGAATAGAATGTGAAACTGCAAAGATGAACATTGAGAAGCAACCCAAAGAAACGCAATTGTCTTTTAAAAACATGAATAATATTCAGGTTGAAATCATCTCTGAAAACAGATGAGGACTCAACTTTCAAATAGGTTATTTCAGAGTTAGGAAAGAACTTTTAAGCGCCAAAATAAGTCTTTTTAAAAAGTGGGAAGCCTCTGAAAACAGAAACTTAATAAAGTATGAGATACTTTCTGCATTTAGCCATTGCATTTTGGCATAACCCAGGACTACAGGCAGAATTACAACTCCCTCTTACTGGCCGTTCCCAGTACCTCTTGGACATGCTTCATCCCTACTGGAGAGGACTCTTTGCATCCTCAGGTCCAGTTTTGACAGAATCAAAAACCTCAAAACCTTAAGAATAACAAATCTTTATGGCCAGCCAAGAAGTGTTTAATTCCTAAAGGACACTAGAGTTGAGCCACTTCTAGCCAGGGGCAACTGGGGACTTAATTCTGTAAGTGTAGCAATCTGGATGATCTGAGAGCTCCAAGTTTAAGGGTAATTGCTCAATTTTTATCCATGTCAACAGGGAAAATAGGTAAAAGTGGCTGAATACAGCCAAGCAATGAGGGTGGATGAGATGAGAGATGCTAGGCTGTCAGTGGAATTAGAAAAATGCTATCTATGGAGGGCTATCGCTCCCTCGTCCCTCAGTCTTCCATCTCCCTGTCCCTCTCAGTCTCCAGCCTTTCTCTCTTTTGGGCTCTTCTTCCTTCCTTGCTTAATCCTTCCACCATATCCTTCATCCCTTTTCCTACAAACAGCAGAATCACCACAAGCTTAAACAGCTTTAACATGGAGAAAGAGAAAATACACAAAACGCTTTAAGTGCCGATAAATTGGAACCCTGATACCTCAACTCCTTTCTCCTTTCTCTTGCTTAGTAAGATTGTCCCATTATGTTGGTATTCCCTCCTTAAACTTAATACAGCACTTGGGACTTTGTAGGTGGTCCCCAAGCATAGTTCCTTTGCCTTCTTAATTCCTTTAAGCTATTACAACCAGATTTTTTAAATTAAGGTATCATTGACATACAGTGTTATAAAGGTTTCACATGAGCAACATTGTGGTTATTACATTCACCCATATTACCAACTCCCCCCCACACCCCACTGCAGTCACTCTCCATCAGCATAGTAAGATGCTGTAGAGTCACTACCTGTCTCCTGTGAACCAGCACTGATTTTTTATTAAATAATATTTTTCAAAATTGATTCATTTTTGTAAATTCAAAGTCACCAGGACTAGATGCTAAGGTCTTTCTATACCCATGCCCCCTCCCTTCCCTGACACATACACACACAGAAGCCCCTTTTAGGTAAAGATACCCATTACAGCAATGGGCCAGGGGTAACAGGTGGTGAGTTTTGAGTTTATTATCTCTGTTTTTAATATAATTTATTTAGTTTTAAGGGTATATAATTTAATCGTTAATGATATTTGTGTTTAACAACCTGTATGCAAAATTCCTACAAATGTAGCCATTGGTTTTTACAAGCCAGTAGAGCTGCTCCGGCACATCACCGCCAAGAGTTGGAGGAGCGGGAATTCACACGTGCCCTGTGACTCCTGGTTGATCGCTCTGCTGCCACTTCCACCTTCTTTGCTGTGGGCGTATTTGGTTCATTTCTCTGCTTTGCCTATGGAGGCAGCTCATCTCCACTCATTTTTCCAGCTCCCTGTTGCAGATCCTCTCCTCTCCTGGTTCTCAGACTTACCTGCTGGCCCATGTCACCAGCTCTGTGATCCTCTCACTATGAAGTCTTGTCTACAAGAACACCCAGGCTGAATAGAGAAAAGCCAAAGAAACCAAGTCATTAGGGCTCTGACTTGAAGCAGAATCTTCAGGTTTGACTGTTCTTCTCTGTCTTGTTATGCTTTGTTTGCAATCAGATCCATTGAGATTGCTTTAGTCAAGGAATTCTTGTGCCTATGTGAAGTTATCTGGAAAGGAGAACCTATTTTGGGATGAGAGGGAGGAGTTTCCATGGGCTTATGCAGACTGCAGTGTGAGTATCAGGACTGTGGGAAGTTCATAAGGACCAAACCCCACAGGGCACTACCTGGGCCTTGAGGTGCTATGTTTGTAGCACTCCCACCAGCCCTCCCCTTTGAGACACAGCAGAGCAAACAGATTGATACCACAGAGACATGGGACACTCAAAAGACTGCACAGGACACAAAAGAGCCCCAGCCAGGGGTACTAGATCCTGGTGTGAGCTGAGGTCATAATGGGGCCAGAGGTGGAATCTGTGCAGGTTAATTGCATTCTAGAAAGTGGATTTTTATTGCAGTGCTTCCAAACAGATTGGCATGCTTAATTTATAAGCTAGAACTGCGGCTGGAACATTTGGAAAGACTGCACCGGCAAATGTGACAGAAAGGATTGTTGTGGATGTTATACTGTATCACGAGATTCATTCCAGTGGACACCCCAGAATAAGGATGTCTTAGAGACAGAGTGGACCTCATTTTGGTGATAAGGAAACTTAGGATCAGAGTTGACAAATAATTTGTATAAGGTCAGCAAATCAAGGCAGATCTGGGACCCAGGTTTCCTGATTCCTAATCGTGTACACCCTCTAGTACAACTCTGGACCAAGAATACGGATTCAGTTCCTCCTTGAACGGAAGTCTTGTGCCATGTGTGCACGCATGTTTAAAACAAAGCAGCTTCTATTAACCTTCCTCCACATTCCTGGCAGCCCAAGAAAAATGAGCACTAGGAGATGTAAAATCCTGAGGTTACAGGGGTTGACTTCTTTATTCTCCAGTGTGGGTTTGCCCAGGGCTGCTCCCCAGAGTGAGACTCCAGGGAAAGTACATGGAACTTGCCAGAAGTTTCTTTAATGAGGCGAGAGAAGCTGTTTTTACTTGGTTTTATTTTCTGCAGGAGCTGATTCAAGGTCGCAGGACCCGACCCTAGGAAAGCACATGCCGTCATAGAGGAGGTGTGTAGGGGTGGAGATGGAGAAATGTTCGGTAATTACCTAACTCCGCAAACATGGTAGAGACTGGTTTGGCTGTATTTTTCTGGCTACCCACCCCTCAAAAGGCAGAATGTCAGGGAGTTTTTGAGAGATTTCAGTTCTGCTTTGTCAACTCATAGTCATGTTCTATCTTACCCTGGTCCAGCTGCCAAGCTTAGCCCAGAGTCTTTACCATACCACCTGTTCCATTGGCAGAGAGGGACAGAGTGCTTTGTGCCCCTGAGATCTCTAGGTCACACCAGACTGATCATTTTGGACATCTCTGCCTGACTCACCACTGACCTCTCCGGGGTTCCATTTCCTTTGTTCTGTGAGCACCTAACTTGTATGTCCCCACCTGGAGAGGTAGAATGGGAGAATGAAAACGGAAGTCTTGTGCCTTGTGTGCACGCATGTTTAAAACAAAGCAGCTTGTATTAACCTTCCTCCAGGAAAACAGAGAGAGCTCCATCAGCATTCTGTCATGCTATAGTCTGTTTGGAGAACTGTGATTAATAATAAATCATTCATTGTTAAGCACTGACAAAAGTAAAAGAGACCTAAATCTCCCTGAAATCATTATAGAGATCAGAGTATTTATTCTGTAACTCTTCGAATTCTGTCCCAGTTGAATATGAAAGACAGGATCAGGATAGGATAAAACTGATCCCATTTAGTTTGCTGAGACTTCCCTAGATGTGGCTGCGAGCAGTGGCCCAGCTTTCAGGGGAGGCGTGGGTCCTTCTCCATGCAGTTGTGAAAGGCGTGGATGAATGAGGATGAGAGGACCTGAATGCAGACAGGCCCGTAGTGATAAGAGCCACTGCCCAGGGAGATTACAGATGACTGAACTTTTCATTTGACCAGAAAGAATAGAGGCTCAGAGTTCTAGGATATCTGTTTCAAAAGATGGGGACTGTGTGAAGAGAAATAATGTTCTTGGCAATGTAAAAAGACAGGTGGAATTGTAGAATTGCTTCAAATACTTTTTGTAACCAAAATCACAGTAGGCTGTGACCTGGGATGACTGGTGACTTTTTGTGTTCTCTCAGATAGATGGCCATGGTGCCTTAACAGGGTGAAGCCTGATAGCCAAATGTCACCGAGGTGAGATGGGAAGGGACAGGCATGTTTATGCATCCGAGGTTGGACTTAACACATCACTTTGACCTCAGGTGGAGAAATCTTCTCCTTCTGACACATCCCACATGGAAATTAGTTTCTAAAGAAGGACCTGAGGCAGCCAAACCTAGAAATAGCAGAAATCTAGGGGAGAGGTAACAGGAGCCCTCTTACCCTAGCAAGAGGTGAACTTGACCTGGGCAAATGGTAGATCTTCCTTTTCTAGCTTTAGGTTCTACCAGCCTTCTAGAAATTCACTGATGTTCAGTGTGTGCGTGTGTGTGTGTAGACTCTCATCGATGTATACACATGCAGGAGGACACATTGGCAATGTGATTCCTGAGTCCATAAGCATAGTTGACAGACCAGGTTTACCTAAAAGACCCTTTAAGAGAAAGCTCTTGAAAGATGATTACAGAATTGAGACACCATCATTTAAAAGTGCCCGAGGCAGAAGCCTTTGAAAATTGCAGCAGCGGAGGGGCAGAGAAAGAACCACGCAGCCCTTGATTGTTGCTCTGTTCCCTCAGGACCCGTCCTCTCCCTTCCCCTCCGTTCTCATCTGATAAGAGAGCGAGCAGCAGTAAGACTCCTCATCTATCTTATGAAAATCCGATTCGGAATGGCTGTGATCAAAACCAGCTGGCTGTCACCAGCAGTGGCCTTGTGAGGAGGGAACTGCTCAGAAGCATCCCGTATGTGGGGGTGTCACGGGTGGTACCGATCAAAGTAGCATTTTTTTAATAAATATATATAAGGAAAATACAAAACCTAAGGATTTAGAATAAAAGCAGTGTAGTTTGTCTTGTTTTTTTTTTCAGTATAACACAAAGAGGATGAAATAGAATCAGATGCGCCTGATTGCTAACACACGCATACTGGCGCCTCTGAGAAGGTGCTCGCTGTCACATTAACACTGCATCACTCATCTTGGGCCTTATTGAAGAGAGTAGAGAGTTCCTCAGTTTCTGTTCCTTCCGGCTACTGCATTCCTCTTCACTTTTAAAGTCCTTTACCCCTCTTTGTCCCTAACACATCTCCGTAGATCAAAGCCGGACCCACCGTGAAGCTCGGAGAGAGCAAGTGGAGTGGCAGAGAACCTTCCTACTCATTGTTCTTCATTTCCTTCAGTTGTCAGTAGCCAGTGTTTTGATGTTCCCTAGAGGGCACCTCAGTGGGTGACGTCCTTCCAGTGTCAGGCTCCTGGGCTGAATGGGATCTTTATAGAGAATTCTTGTTGGGCCAAGCTTGTCTTGAGACTACCACCTTTGAGTTCCTCGAAAGGCCTGGTCCTGGTTGACCACCCTTTGCATTGCTGATACTGATTCCCGTACAGCACTCCGGGGACTTGGGTGGGGTGGTAGGAAAGAGCTCCTTCTGAAGTGTTGCATTCATGGCTCCTTCAGCAATGTCCTAACATGCCCCTGTGGTTGTAATATAATGGGGTCACATGCCATAATATACCACAAGCTAGGTTGCCCCTCTTATTCTGTGCTCATGATCCAGCCAGCACCACACTGTGCTAAGGCCTGATTATCTCAGAAACTGAAGTCAGTCCAAACCTTCCTCTCCAAACCATCATCAACCAGGAGGGTCATCACAAGTTGGGGGACTGTGAGGACAGTCAACTATTTTGGTCCCTCCTTAAGGTCTGTGATCTCTCCCCAGCAGCATTAGGAGAGATTCTGTTTGGCAGGAGCATGGAGGCATTTCAATACAGAGGCATATGGGACACAGATGAACCCCCCACCCCACCACATGCTTCCTCGGGGACCTGCTCACACACAGCTCTGGGGTGCACACTTGCTGTGCGGCACGTTGGGCCAAATGCCTTGCTTGTGGTCTGTCCTGTTTCTCAGTCTTTGCAGTGTGGGTCTCGAGCCAACATCGCCGTTTTCAGACTCTTCTCCCATGTCTGTTTCCTCCCTTGTCAGTAATGAGTATAGGTGGGACCCGACTTCAATCAGGTGAAATCACAAGGCCTGAGTCTTCGAAGGCGGGCCTGCCAGGGACCTGCCAAAGTGTTTTTGCACCTTGAACCCTGACTCCAGGAATGCAGGAGACCCACAGTGCTGGGCCCAGGCTTGCTGGGGAGCTCCTCTGAGACCGCTCTCTCTCCTGTTCATTCGGGTGTTTGAAGCCTGTTGCCTCCTGCTTTCCCTTTTTCTTCTCCCTTTTAAAGAATTCTCAATTTTTTTCACTTAGAAAAAAAATTATTTATACGATTGAGATCCACTAATTAAAGCCGTTTTCTGGTATTTGGTTACTGGAGCGTTTGATGTCTCTCTGACAAGACCATGAAATGCATGGAGTGTCCACAGGGACAGAATTTGCTGAGCATGGCTCTTTGTAAATGAGGGGACACAGTGTCGCAGCAGCTCATGAATATGAAACGCCCGTGATGCCACCTCAGTGGACTTGGGAACACAGATGAATCCTGTCATGTGCTAAATGAGACCAATTTCTTTCACTTAACTTCATCTTCAATCAGACCTTCTTCCATTTGCCTGTTTAAAATTCCCCATACATGATGCCGAAGGTAACAGCATTCAGTAAAACAAAGTTTTCCAGCTGCAGAGAGAAATTACAATGATCTGATTTAAAGTCGCCATCTCCTAAAAACATGGATGTTATTTCCTTTCTCTCACAAGCTCTGCTGAGGTCTGTTGGCTTTGGGCATGAAAATAGGTGCCCAGTAAAAGCAGTCTGGACTGCTTTTACTGGGGTCCCCTTAAGCAGTAGGTCCAGATCCCTTTGATGTGGATTGGTTAATGATCGTGGCTATGAATGGCAGATGTGAGACCTTAAGGGCCTGTGGATGCTCTGCGGTGGCCAGACCCTGAGTGGGAAAGCATCTGGGCAGAGAGTGTGTGTAACCAAGCAGGGCCTTTGCCATCAGGAGCTCAGTTAGTGGATGAAGTGAGAGGGACAGATGTCGTCAGTAAGCCCCAGAGGAACCTGGCAAGTCAGGCCAACCACTTGTATCATTTCCTAACGTGAGAAAGTGCTGGAGTAAAGAAAAGGCTCTATGTAGCTCTCTGGAAACCCTGGATACAACCAGAAAATTCCACTCAGAAATCCCCAACCAAGGAAATTAGCAAAGAGTAGAACCTAAAGGGGCACAGAGAGGAAGGCCTCCCCATGGGGCCAGGGGCTAGATCGGAGTGCCTGTTTCATTCTCTCCTTCCTATAGGATGTAGATTTACGCTCCAGGAGAAGAGACTGTGTGGTGCTCCGAGTGTACTCATTTCAAACAGCCCAGTCTGAGAAATCCCCTTCTGTTTTAGTTATGCCCAAACTGGCAAACAACAGCTAGATTTGAATGCCGGCTGCTGAACAGCAGTGTGACCCAGCCTCAGGATGGAAGCCCAGTGGTCCATGGGGCCAAATTTGAATGACTTTTCCTCTGTGACTCTGTCCCCACTCATCCACTGTTCCTCATATATGCACAGGCCCTTTCCAGCAGGCCCTGCAGCTCTCAAGTGAGGCAAAGCCTTTACTCTGATGTTATTAAATCCAGGAAGCATCTGAGGACTACGCTTGGTGGTTCTTGTGGAATGAATCCTACTAAGGCCCCTGTAGGACTCAGTAGTGCTGATCCCGTAATTGGAACGATACAGAGAAGGTTGGCATGGCTCTGCCACGTGTGTTACCTTCCAGGCTGAGGGGCATCTGTTGATCGGGTTCTGTTCGGTGTTCCTTCAGTTTGCCAGTCCTTGGGAATGCAGAAGCCCTGGCTTGTGCTCTTCGCTCTCGGTTAGTTCAGCGTCCAGGGGGCAGACTCTCCCCACTGAAGGCGGTGAGCTTACCCTGTGGCCTTGCAGAAAATATTATGGAAAGGTGAAGAAGAGTGTTCTGAATTCTGCCCGTTGGATTCTGAGCTGCCTCACAAAGGAAGGGATGTGCATTTTCCTTACTTTGCTCATTTATGATTATTTTTTAATATATAAACTCTCCCTTTGCAATCCGCCACCCTATCCGTCTTGGTTTTCCTCTAATGTGCCTCAGAAGGGGTCTTGTGAATAGAAGACACTCAGCCGCTGACTTCCAGTGGGTTGATTCAGGTCCTTCCTCACCTGGTACCAGGTACCCTCTTCCCCACCTAACCCCTTGCTCCTGGGCCCTCCGTGCCAACCATACTGGTGCTCCATGAAGACAAGGACCATGCGTTTTATTTGTTGCTGTTACTGGCCCCAGTTGGTACAGTACTTTACCCATCATAGGTGCTCAATCATTATTCCTTGAATGAATGAATAAATGAAGGAAGGAATGAACAAACAAAGGAACAAACATAGGTTCCCCACCATGTGGCAGCAGAACGACACTCAGCGGACAAGCAGGTTGAGCAGCACATGAGGTGGCTCACAAGAGAGGCACGGAGCAAGTGCAAAGAGCCAGGAAAACCTTTTGAAGGAGCTGGAGCTGGGAGAGAGCAGTGGATGTCTGCGTGGGGATGGTGGTCTTCATCCGGAAAATGGGCAGGAGTAAATGAGAAAAAGAAGGTAGAGCCACATAGCTTCTCCCCATGGTCAGTATTATATCTGTGTAATGAATAAAAATAGTCATAGGCCATTATGTAGTGAACATAGTGCTTAATATTTTATAAAGACTATTGCATTTAATGCTTGCAACAACTGTATATGAGGTGGTTATAATTATCCCCATTTTACACATGAAGAAATTGAGGCACAGAGAGAATAGTCACACAACTGGTACATGGGGGAACCAGGATTTGAAGCCAGTCATTCTGCTTCCCAATCTTGTGTTCTTAAGCCCTGGGCAGGAGTCCTACCCACGTTCTTAACTAACTCATTGTTTCTGTTAACATTCTTCTTAGCGGCATGGAAGAAAATGAGAATAAAGTTCACGTAGCTATTGAGTTTTTTTTAAAATAGTGGTAGCTTTTCAGCAGTACTAGAGTGACCTTTGCTCCCCTTATTTTCTCTGTTAAGATTGTATACTTTTGAATGTCAAACTTGACACCCTGAGTCAGGCTGGGCCCCTGTCCAGACTTGCAGGGCAAGTAGTTGTCACTGGTTTGAGGCACGGCCAGATCATCCCGTGGAGGTAATTTTGTGAAGAAGTAGATTTTTCCAAGTCCATTTTCTTTTTCTAGGTTTGTTTGTGGTGTGTATGGTGTGTATGGTGTGTGTGTGTGTGTGAGGGTGAGAGAGGGAGGGAAGGAGAGAAAAGAGAACAAAAATTCCCAAGAACACATTATATATACATAGGCAAGCACTTGTCTGTGTTTGTAAATCACAAACTGTAAAATTGTGAAGTTCTTTGAAGTTTGCCCCAAACCTGCTCCATGGCCACCTGTTCCACTGAGGGCTGGAGTTGGATGGCCTGACTGTGCTGTGATGGCTCAAGCTGTCACTACACCGGAATGTTCCAGCCTGCCTGGGCCTGGCTGTCATCTCTGGCTCTGTCCCACTCAGGCAGTTCACGGGTTCTGTTGGGCACAGGGCTTCCAATTAGAGAGAAATCCCACTGTGTGGCCAGCCCCACCAGTGCCGCGCTGAGAGGCGCCTTTGCCAAGGCCCGAACTGACCTCTGATCTGTCACAGATGGGCCAGCCCCACACTCCCCTGTGCGCATTTGGAGGAGGGGGTGTGGATGAAGAGGGAAGCCTGTGGGGAGGGAGAGTAGACATTGGGCAGAAGTGCAGTTCCTCAGAGCCTGGGAGAGGCAGGGCAGAATTGACAGGACCCAAATGCTAATGTTGTGGAGGGAAAGGGGACTTGGGGAAGACCCCATCCTGAGCCCTGAACTCAGCATGGGGCATTGTCTTACCAACTTCTGAATATTCATCTCAGGCTGGACTCCACGCCCGCCTGAGGAGAGCCAGGAGCAGCTAACTGTCACAGTGCTGATGGCACATGGCACAGCCAGCTTCCTGCCTGCCCTGCACAGGCTCCTTGCAGCCTCATCAGCCTGGGAGGCCTGCTTGCCCTGGGCTCCGGTGCTGTTGCAGCCCTCACTATGAATTGTGTTAGTCACATAGAGCAAGAGTGAACAAGAAAGCTGAATCTCTATTATCCTGAGAAATAGAATCTTGGAGAACTCCAGCTCTAATTATCCAGCAGGACAGGGAGTATAATCTCAGCTCTGAACGGCCTCTTTCTAGATGACTTGCTGATGTGGTTTGTAGGGTGGCTTGTGTGTCCTTTATTTCACTTCTCAGCCATTTCTTTAATTTTTAACCCTTTTCATTCTTTTAATCACTCCTCCTCTGCCTGTCTCCTTCTCTCTCTGTCCTCTTTCGGGATCTCTGTCTCTCCCTTGAGTACTTTCTCTCTTCCCAGGTACAGCATCTGTAACCCAACAGTTTGAAGCAATAATAAAGGCACTAGGCTTGGAAGGGACATTTATATACTCGGGCTTAGCTTGACTAGAGCAGGCACCAAGTCCAAGTTACGAATAGCCTGAAGTGGCAAGGGTCTTCCCAGCTGTTCTGAAATGACTCTGGGTTTCTTTTAAAAATAAAACTGAATTCAGTCCATGGAAGCAAATACAAAGGATGTCTTCACTCCTCTCTGGGATTTTCCCTTCTCCGTGTGTTTACAGTGGTTTTGGAATCCCAGGACTGCCTCCCACTCGGCCTGCCCCACCCCTTTTTTGACTCTGACAGATTAAATGAACAAAACTCCTCAGCCTGTCAGTGATGCTCATTTGGAAAAGGAAATACTTCTTTAGGTTGTTAGATTGTCCCAGTGAGGAGATGGACTGTTTTTGGTATCTTAAACTAGTTGCCACAATTAAAATTGCTGTCTCTTAGTTTCTCCATTTGCATGACTTTCTTAGACTGGTGAAAGCAATTGCCTCATGTCTCTTTATATGTCCGAATGTGTGTCTCACATGGAGAGTTCACACAAGGAAAATCTCCATGAGATAGCAAAAAATGTGTCATTTCAGATTGGGTATCTTCTTTTATACTGAACCTGGCCGTGGGGACTCCGAGCCAAGGGACACTGATATGAGCCAGGTCATATCAGTAGGTATAAACTGTCCTTAAGATGCAGGCTCAGGGCCATGAGACAGATGGCTGCAAAGACTAGGAGGAGCTAATGTTCATGTGGACCATGGACGTGAAGAGGTACATGCGTGGCAACACCCACCTCGTGACACTGCTTTCTCAGCTCCTTCTGTCTCTTACCATGCCAGGCTCACGCATCAGTTCCTCTGACACTTCCCCAGGTGCTATCTGGGACTCTTCTCATTTCCTTACATTTCTCCTTAGATATCCACTCCAATGGCTCCTAACCTGGAGCATACTTTGGGATCACCCAAGGAATCTTAGGGAAAAGTACAGATGCCTGAGCCCCACCCAGGAGGTTCTAATCCAGCAGGTGCCTGGGGTAAAGACTGGGATTCAGAAATTGTTGAAGTTCTATGTTTGTTTCTAATGTGCACCTGTAGTTCACCCCACAGCCTAGACTGTCAGCCCACGGATGCCAGAGACTGTGTTGGAGAGTCCATCCTAGCCCCAGCCTGCAGCCCCACGGCAGGCCTGTTGAAGGTGATGAGCAGTAATGGAAATGCAGGCAAGATCCCCATTCATTCTGTGACCGCTTTGCTGCCTCCTCTCATTGCAGATATTCCTGTTATTCCAGATCTGGAAGAAATGCAGGAAGAAGACTTTGTTTTGCAGGTGGCAGCCCCTCCCAGGTACAGTAAATTAGGTATGAAATCGACAGGAGGCAGGGAATATGGAAATTAATATGCTCCAAATACTGTCTACAGTGGTGCTGCCCCCAGGGGAGATCTGGCTGTTCCGGTGATGGGCTTCATCTAGGGTTCCCATTTTATTAGGCATGTTCTTCCCATTTTGGTCCTTTCCAGCTGGAGCCCCAGGACTGGTGGCCCAGCAGCGCTCCTGGAATGTCCTGCCTGTGGTCCCTCCTCATGTTCTGTCTTGCCTGCAGCAGCCAGGTAAGCTGGGTGATGACCTACCGTGACCTGGACAATGACCTCATGAAGTGCCCAGCCTTTCAGACCTTGGTGAGTGGAATGGCTTCTGCAGAGAGGGACAAACTCCAGGCAGCATCCCTAGGGTTCTCAGTTCCTCTAAAGCTGTACAGCATCTCCTCCAAGGGTCTCTAAGGCTGCCTGGCAACAGTCCCTCTCTGGGAGGCATCCTCCTTAGGTACTACACCATGCCTGGACCCAACACATTCCAGGGTTTCCCGGGGCCAGGCTCCCCCCTGCTTCTATGGCTGCCCCTTGGCATCAGTAGGTACGCTGGCCCTAGAGAGATGCTGTCGTCATGCCCTGGGCCCTGATGGTGACCTCACCCCAGAGAATGCTAAGCAGGACAGGGAGTATAATCTCAGCTCTGAACGGCCTCTTTCTAGATGACTTGCTGATGTGGTTTGTAGGGTGGCTTGTGTGTCCTTTATTTCACTTCTCAGCCATTTCTTTAATTTTTAACCCTTTTCATTCTTTTAATCACTCCTCCTCTGCCTGTCTCCTTCTCTCTCTGTCCTCTTTCGGGATCTCTGTCTCTCCCTTGAGTACTTTCTCTCTTCCCAGGTACAGCATCTGTAACTCAACAGTTTGAAGCAATAATAAAGGCACTAGGCTTGGAAGGGACATTTATATACTCGGGCTTAGCTTGACTAGAGCAGGCACCAAGTCCAAGTTACGAATAGCCTGAAGTGGCAAGGGTCTTCCCAGCTGTTCTGAAATGACTCTGGGTTTCTTTTAAAAATAAAACTGAATTCAGTCCATGGAAGCAAATACAAAGGATGTCTTCACTCCTCTCTGGGATTTTCCCTTCTCCGCATGTTTACAGTAGTTTTGGAATCCCAGGACTGCCTCCCACTTGGCCTGCCCCACCCCTTTTTTGACTCTGACAGATTAAATGAACAAAACTCCTCAGCCTGTCAGTGATGCTCATTTGGAAAAGGAAATACTTCTTTAGGTTGTTAGATTGTCCCAGTGAGGAGATGGACTGTTTTTGGTATCTTAAACTAGTTGCCACAATTAAAATTGCTGTCTCTTAGTTTCTCCATTTGCATGACTTTCTTAGACTGGTGAAAGCAATTGCCTCATGTCTCTTTATATGTCCGAATGTGTGTCTCACATGGAGAGTTCACACAAGGAAAATCTCCATGAGATAGCAAAAAATGTGTCATTTCAGATTGGGTATCTTCTTTTATACTGAACCTGGCCGTGGGGACTCCGAGCCAAGGGACACTGATATGAGCCAGGTCATATCAGTAGGTATAAACTGTCCTTAAGATGCAGGCTCAGGGCCATGAGACAGATGGCTGCAAAGACTAGGAGGAGCTAATGTTCATGTGGACCATGGACGTGAAGAGGTACATGCGTGGCAACACCCACCTCGTGACACTGCTTTCTCAGCTCCTTCTGTCTCTTAACCATGCCAGGCTCACGCATCAGTTCCTCTGACACTTCCCCAGGTGCTATCTGGGACTCTTCTCATTTCCTTACATTTCTCCTTAGATATCCACTCCAATGGCTCCTAACCTGGAGCATACTTTGGGATCACCCAAGGAATCTTAGGGAAAAGTACAGATGCCTGAGCCCCACCCAGGAGGTTCTAATCCAGCAGGTGCCTGGGGTAAAGACTGGGATTCAGAAATTGTTGAAGTTCTGTTTGTTTCTAATGTGCACCTGTAGTTCACCCCACAGCCTAGACTGTCAGCCCACGGATGCCAGAGACTGTGTTGGAGAGTCCATCCTAGCCCCAGCCTGCAGCCCCACGGCAGGCCTGTTGAAGGTGATGAGCAGTAATGGAAATGCAGGCAAGATCCCCATTCATTCTGTGACCGCTTTGCTGCCTCCTCTCATTGCAGATATTCCTGTTATTCCAGATCTGGAAGAAATGCAGGAAGAAGACTTTGTTTTGCAGGTGGCAGCCCCTCCCAGGTACAGTAAATTAGGTATGAAATCGACAGGAGGCAGGGAATATGGAAATTAATATGCTCCAAATACTGTCTACAGTGGTGCTGCCCCCAGGGGAGATCTGGCTGTTCCGGTGATGGGCTTCATCTAGGGTTCCCATTTTATTAGGCATGTTCTTCCCATTTTGGTCCTTTCCAGCTGGAGCCCCAGGACTGGTGGCCCAGCAGCGCTCCTGGAATGTCCTGCCTGTGGTCCCTCCTCATGTTCTGTCTTGCCTGCAGCAGCCAGGTAAGCTGGGTGATGACCTACCGTGACCTGGACAATGACCTCATGAAGTGCCCAGCCTTTCAGACCTTGGTGAGTGGAATGGCTTCTGCAGAGAGGGACAAACTCCAGGCAGCATCCCTAGGGTTCTCAGTTCCTCTAAAGCTGTACAGCATCTCCTCCAAGGGTCTCTAAGGCTGCCTGGCAACAGTCCCTCTCTGGGAGGCATCCTCCTTAGGTACTACACCATGCCTGGACCCAACACATTCCAGGGTTTCCCGGGGCCAGGCTCCCCCCTGCTTCTATGGCTGCCCCTTGGCATCAGTAGGTACGCTGGCCCTAGAGAGATGCTGTCGTCATGCCCTGGGCCCTGATGGTGACCTCACCCCAGAGAATGCTCCACCTGCAGGGTATCATGGTATCCCTTCATTTCTCAGTGGCCGTGTTGTCCACTCAGTTTTTACTTTTATAAGGCATTTCTGCAGGTCTGGTTTGGGGACACACAGAACCTGATCTTCCTCTCTGTGCAAGAGGTAGCTGTCTGAAGGCCCCTGAGGCACACAGCATGCCTTTTCTTTTGCATCACAGGATGGAGAGATTGACCTGAAGCTCCTCACCAAAGTCCTCGTGCCAGAGCATGAAGTTCGAGAGGTGCACCGTAGCAGTTCCTTACTCTCTCGGCTGAGTCATTCCTATAGCCAGCTGGCTCCCCAGGGTGACCCCAGGCCAGATGGTGTGGGAGGTTGGCTGTGATGGAAGGGAAAGGCCTCCCATCATCTTACCCAGCAATCGCTTTCGTGGCAGGATGACATCAGCTGGGACTGGGACCATCTGTACACGGAGGTGTCCTCAGAGCTCCTCGCCGAGTGGGACCTGCTGCAGACAGAGAAGGAGGACCCTGTGGGACAGCCTGCACACACCTGAGTGCTTGGGGGATGGCAGACTGCACTCTCCCTGCACAGAGTAATCTCTGCTTTGGACTTCTAAGCCTAAAGCTAAAGAAGCTTGAAGGCAGCTTTTAATTCTTATATGCAATATTTTATAATAAAAGCATTTATTAGAAGACCACATTGGATCATTCAGTCTTAATAAATTGCTTTACTCTGTGGCCATCTCTTCCACTTCTTTCCAGCACCCTCTTGGAAAGATGCGTCAGGAGTAAAGGAGGGCAGCTTTTAAACAATGTGCTGGAAACTCTCCCCTCTGCTGAAGATGTGGGGGGGAGTTAGGTGCAGGGGGGAAAGGCCTGCCGCTCCTCCTAGAAGGTGTTTGGTTCACAGAGGCCAGAGCAGTTCCCTGGAGCACCGCTCTACCCGAAAGCACCTGGACGCAGGGATGGGGGGGTGCATGTAGCCGCCTCCTGGGGTCCAGGGGAGGCCCTGGTGGGATGCCTTTCTCCCTGTGAACGTTCAGCTGCGATAGTGAAGTTGCACCATCTCTTCTGGGCTTCCAGGCAGTTTAGCTGAGGGGACAGCAAGAGGTGGGTGTGATAAGGTGACCCATTCCTCACATTAGGTTTTGGGGGCTCTTCTGACCCCACTTCCCTGTCCCCCCTCTTCATGCAGCCCATGCCTGGGGCTCTCCAAGTCCGTGTTTCCCCTTTTGCCGCAGGTTCCCAAGGCCTTACTTCTGGTTCTCATTAGCAGGGCCAGCTCAGTCACCCTGAGAACTCCGTGAAGCACCCTGGGGCTGGGACTCCCTCCGGCCTCTCAGACGCGGAGCTGTGTCCGTTGCTCCTCCAGGCGTCATCACTGCCTGTGTCCAAACTGCGCCAAGATCTGGAGTGGGGCTCAGCTCTTTTTCTAAACAGAGACATCTTTTGTTCTTGTTGTGTTTCTCTCTTGCTCCCTGAGACAGCTCACCTGAGGACAGGGACGTCTCCCTGCTTGCCTCTCCTCCATGCCGCTTTGGATCAGCCCCAAGCAGGTGGTAGCAGCTAAGTCCCACTCCTTGGCCGCATCCTGCCTGGAAAGCCCTTCATTAAAATTCAGAAAAACAAAGAGGCTCCACACTTCAAAAACCCACTGGGGGGTTATTTTTGTGTGAATACAGTGCCCTTCCCCGGTGAGCCGCTAGGCTCCAGAGCAGCAGCGAGAGTGCTTGTCTGCTAATTATAAACTCAGGGAGAAGGTGGCTCTGGGGTCCCTTTTCCTCCTTTTTCCAGAGTCACATTTTAGCCCAACAGCCCCTCTTGGAATCATTCCCACAGTCACTGAGCAGTTTCCATCCAGGCTGGTTTTTCTTGGGCTTGCGTCACTCTGAGACCCAGAGGAAAAGGGCTGTATCTCTAGCACTTTGATTCCTAGCAAATTCAGCTGCCTCAGGACTCTGACAACCTTGGAGGTCTTCAGCCAAAGCAAACAGGTAGGGGCTGACTTGCTCCCTCTCTGTATTTTATAACAGCAGCAGCACCGACGTTTGATGGGTCTTGAGCGCTCACCACATGCCAGGCACTGGGCTCCATACACATGAATTATGTAGCTTCACCCTCACAACCACCCAGTGAAACAGATGCTGTTGTCCCATTTTACAGATGAGGAAACTGAGGTGCAGAGAGGTAACGAGATTGCCCAAGAGAAGCCAGCTACTTGGTAGCAGAGCTGGAATTCAAATCCATGCTGTGTGGCCACTGTACTTTTAACATCTGTGGTTTTGCTTCCCCTCAGCTGCCCTCAGCTTGGAAAGCTGTCTAGTTTATAGCAGGCAGAATTCGCAGTACACTGGAAAAAGCTGTCTGCCACTCCCTCTTCCCCCAAGCCTAGACACCCATTCTTTCTGTGGGTGACCACAGATCCAAGGGCTACTGTCAGGCCTGGGTGTGAAGCCTTGCACCATGGCTGAGCTCCACAGGCCCAGCCATAAGCAGGTGGGGTGAGGATAAAGCCAGTGGCCCCAGGTGAGGAGCAGCTCTAAGGTGCATGAGCTAAGCCTGGACAAGAGTCAGGTTAGGCTGTGTGGGGCCTTGTCTCCTGCCGGCTGCCTGTGCCCTGGCCATGCCCTGTCTGCGCTTCATCCTGCCCGTGACACTTGAGCATCACATCTTCAGAGTTCCTGGGGAATGATAGGTGGTTCCAGGACCTACGTCCTCCCAGTTCTTACCCGACCTCTGTGATACCTTCCTTATGTTCTAACCAGTGGTGTCGCCCATGCCAGACTTCAGAGGGCCTCCCCAGAAGATGGCCCAAGCGGTATGACGGAACGAACAAACATCCTGCAGTATCTGTGATGTGGTTTTCTGCAGACGTGAGGGGAGGCATGGAGTGGGTCTTGGTGCTGCCTCCTGTGGGGGGCGTTTTGACTGGTTCCCTACCAATATCTCCTAGGCTGGCTCACGTCACCTCTGACCAAGCTTGAAAAGTCCCAGCTGGTCTTGAACAAAAATCTCCCATGGTGTCTTCCACATTGGGTGGTAGCTGCAGAGATGCTGTTCATAAGCCAAACCCTGGTGGGGAAGCTTATTCCTTCATGAGATGCTGATTGAGACAGTACCTGCCAGGCTCGGCCTAGGCACTATGGGGGTAGAACTAAGAAGCAAAATTCCCTCCCTTCATAGCATTTGTATCTGGTGCAGGGATGGCAAATAGGTACAATAGTATGTCGGATGGCAATGGATGCTATGGAGAAAAATAAAGCAAGAACGGGAAGGGAATGCTGGGATCAGGGTTGCAATCTTAAATGGGGTGGTTGGGGGGGGCCTCACTAAGGTGACATGTGAGCAAAGACCTGAAGAAGGTGAAGGAAGGCTCATGACTGGTACCTGGGAACAGTGCTCCAAAGAGGGAGAACAGTATTTCCAAAGCCAACGGGAGGACGCTACTTGGCTGGTTTGAGTAGCAGCAGGAGGTCAGCATGCCTGGGGTGGTGGGGACGGGGGAGAAGAGGCACTCTGTCTTACTGTGCCCAAGGCCTGGGTGTATCACAGAAAAGGCCTTGGGGTGTGTGCGGTCCGCTCCCTCTAGCCATATAAGCACTCAGGCCTCGGCTTGTCAGGTGGCCATCAGAACACTTGCTCAGATTGCTGCACAGTCTCTTTGTGCCTCAGCCTGGAAGAAGGGGAACGGTTAATGTCGCACTGAGGGAGAGGGAAACAATGAGCACTGTTTGCACGGACCAGAGGTCAGGAGGCTGCCGCCAGCTCCCTGCCAGGCTGGGGTGCGCTGTTGTGCGTGGCAGACAGGGTGGCATTGTAAGGCCCTGCATGGAACACTCCCCAAAAACCTGCAGCTCTGATGAAAAGGTCAAAGCAAGAAATTCATCTGGGTAGGTCTGTAGCTGAACTTGAGGTCATCTCTATCCCTGATTGTTGCCTCATCTTTGCCAGACCCCAGGATACACCAGACAGGCTTTTGGAACTTGTGCTCTAGACGGGAATGGCTGCTAGTGCCTGGTCCATGGTGCTTGACCCAAATATGCTGCTTCCTAAATCAAGGCCTTTCTTCCTTTGTGGCTGGGGGACTCCTGGGAGCGTTGGTGCTGGGGACCCGAATGAAAGGTCATGTTTGCTACAGGAGGATAAGGGAGCTGAGCATCCTTGCTCTGCTTGCCTCCTGGGGGCCAAGAAGTCTGGGGAGGCAGGTGGAGGGAGAGGACAGAGAGCAGTGGCAAAGAATATGGACTCCAGAATAAGGCAGGCCTGGGCTCTGCCACTTGGTAATGTGGGTGCTGGACAAGCTGCTTTCCCTTTCTGATCCTGTTTTCTCATCTGTAAAGTGGGGATAATAGTACTGCCTCCTTGGATTGTGATGCCCGTAAAAGTTGGCTGCTTGTTAGATTTTAGAACTGGAAGGGATCGAAAGGGAACGTGGGGAAAGCCGCGTTGGATGTTGTTTTGCAACAACCCCTGCCTTTTGCTAGGGCATACCATCTTCATGCCCCACCCCGCCCGGGCCTCCTTTCTCAGCCATGGAGAGAAGCATGGTTTGGCAACAGGGCTTTTTTGTTTTGTTTTTATAACAACTTTATCAAGGTGTAATTTGCCTGCCTTAAAATCCACCTAGTGAAAGTATACAATTCAGTGCTTTTAGTAAATTTATGGAGTTATGCAACCATCACCATAATCCTGTTTTAGAACATCTGCGTCTCCCTACAAAGTTCCCTTGTGTCTGTTTATAGTCAATCTCTGCTCGCACTTCCAGCCCTAAGCAACCATTGATCTGCTTTCTGATGCTATAAATTTGTTGTTTCTGGAAATTGCATGTAAATGGACTCACACGATAGGATAGGTGGTCTTTTGAGTCTGGCTGCTGTCACTTGGCATATTTTCAAGGGCCATCCATGTTGTAGCATGTATCAGTAGTCCACTCTTGGTTGCTGAACGGTATTCCATTGTACAAATACATACCACAACTTGCTGATCTGTTCATTAATTGAGTTGTTTCCAGTGTTTGGCTATTATGAATAATGGCCCCATGGACATTCATGCACTTGCCTTTGTGTGGACATGTTTTTGTTTCTCTTAGGTAGATTCATAGGTATGAAACTGTTGGGTCATATGGTATGTTTATGCTTAACTTTTTTTCCCAGTTTATTTAAAGTAAAACACTGAAAATTTCAAAAGCTTTGAATGGTCAAATAAAATAGTTGCAAAATTATTTATGTCTAACTTTTAAGAAACTGCCAAACTGTTTGCCAGGGCATCACAGTTTTATTGTTTGTTTGTTTTTCAGTACTTTAGAGTATCAGGATTAATTAAGTACTTAATTTTTTCTTGTCTCCTTTCCTTAAGTTTTTCAAAGGTCCTAATTAAGTTTACAGGAGGCCCATTCTCCTGATACCTTCCTTCTTCCTGTCATTGAGTTTATCTCTGTTTTGACAATACAGAGTTCATCTGTCTGTTTTTCTTAAAAAACTGTAAGTTTCTTCAGGATAAGATGGAGTGTTGTTGGAGTTTCTGTCAGGCCCCTTGCATATTCCTGGAGTTCAAAGGCAAATAAGACAGGGTCCTGACCCCAAAGAGCTCACAAGCTAGTAGAGGAACAGACAGGTTTCATCTATGATTTCAAAGCATTTGTTTTGAAAATCACAGCAGTTTCCTGAATGAGTGGAGGAACCCAAATGATTATTGCAAGACACGGATACAAGGAAGGAGAGAAGGAGCTTCATATTTCC